GTGGACTGAGGAGCATGCTCTCTCTCTTATGTGATGGTCGTAGATCAGATGGCAACTTTCTGCACCCCCAGGTCAGAAAACCACGGCAGCTCTCTGCCTTTATTGTGTGCTACCTAATGTGGATATATGCTTTTCTACAAACTACAAAATTGATCAATTTCCAAAACATACCTTCTCCAAAAGCTTTATGTGTGCACTAACAGACACTAGTAATTGTTTGTGTGATTATGTTTGTGCAATACCTAATCTTTCTACATACTATATATGTACCAACTGGCAACTAAATTTATGGACTAATTTAGCTTTTTCCCTTAAGACTTCATTTTACTTTTCATTAACATGAATTTCACTGGTAAGATTACCTTTTGACTGCCATGCCAAGCTTGTTAGTATCTTAAAGACTTTGTATTTTCTACTCCCTCTGTCTGGAACTTTCTTCCACTGATTTCCTCATGGTTTGTCTCTTCATTTCTTCAAAATCATACCTCTACAAACAGGCCTTTGTTCAAATGACATCTCTTTTTAGGAGCCTTCTCTGATTACCCTGGCTCCATGATCATTGGGCTGGTCTGTGGTATACCTTGGGCTGTTTTCTCGACTGTTGATTGATGTGGGCAGACCCAGCTCACTGAGAACAGTGCCACACCCCTGGGCAGGCAAGACAGGAGAGAGAGTTAAGCAAGCCAGGGAAGTAATCCAATAAATTATCCCTGCTCTAGTTCTGGCTCCCAGGCTCTTGTTTTGGTTTCCCTCAATGGTGGGGGGAATCTGTAACCTGGAGGCTAAAATAAACCCATTTGTTTGTGCTGTTTATCATAGCAACAGACAGCACACTAGAACAGCCCTCTACTAAAGAAATACGGCTTTTTAATTTTTAGGAAATGTTTTTGACGGATTTTTATCTTCCTGAATGATGGAATGCCTTTAACACTACAGTGAACCTGGGGCCACGTGTTTTGAGGTTTTGAGTGATGAGAAATTACAGCTTATCTCTGAGCAACCCTAGTGAGATCACAGCATGGGCACTGAGCTTGGTTTTATGTACCTTATGTTCTAGGTAACTGGGAGATGATTGCAAAAGATGGCACTAGGAAGGATTAAGTGTGATTATTTATGAGGCATAGTTAAAAAGAGACAGCATGCATATGTTCTCTAACTATAGGGAATATACTGATCTCCTAAATATCTAACGAGTAGATATACCCAAGGAATCCATTTAACACAAGAAAACGAAAGAATAAATGGGATGAAGTGAGAAAAATAGAGAATGGAACATTTGAACAGTATTTAGTATGTCACAAGATGGTTCTTGCTCTTATTAGCAACTGGATTTTTTTCTGACAGCCAGAAACTCTCCAGGATTACATGCTGGGATTTGTGATGGAGACTGGAGCATCTCAGGACAGCTGAACTTCTCAGTCTCTCTATATTTGGCATGATAAAAATAAGACATTGCTTTCCTTGTTTTAATATATTTTTTATGTATGTTTCTGAACAAATCCCCAGAATACTTATCTGAATTTCTAGTTTATGACCTGTAACATATGGCTAAAATGAATTATGCAGAGCGTTGAACTCTTTGACTGCTAGTGACTGCTTAGCTTTGAGTGTGTTTCCACAGTAAAGATTTCTTTATAGGTCGTATGAGCTGGAGAAGGATCCTCTTTGGACTACATTATGTGATCTCCAGGCTCCCTACATGGGAAGATGATTCTGTAATTGTTCTAATAGAAGGTTACTGGGATGTTGTCAGTGCTCCTTTGCTTCATACCTGTTTAATACTACAGGGATCTTCTGGTTCTTACATTATGTGTGTCCTGTGGCTATAGTATGGCTATGGCGGCAGACTCCTTTCTTGGGTCCCAGTGAGGAGTAAGTGCAACAGAAAGGGCTTGCTTCTCAGAGCTTGCATTGTGTTTTCAGGAGACACAGGAAATGCAGAACGACAAATAGTAACTACCATTTTAAACAAAGCTGTTTGCTCTGAAAAGAAACACTATGGCAGCACAAGTTACAGAACTCTTTCAGAAAAAAAAATGTCTTCTAGGTCAATAGATGACCTAGATCTTCACGCCCCCTCCACAAGCTCTTGTGTTTCTTTTCACGCCCCCTCCACACGCTCTTGTGTTTCTTTAAGCTTGTGAGATAAAAATGATATAGCAAAATGAACATGTCTTCAGTATATTTTTTCTCACTTCCTTCCCCATCTGTCGATTCTTTCCCTGTGTACCCTACTCGCCATGACTCCTCCTAAAGTCCCCAGGAGTTCCTATTTCCCCGAGTCACTGTTTGGTTTATACGGATTAATGAGGATTTTTAGAAAGGAAAGTCTATTTCAATTGTTCATATGAGAAAGACACAGGGGTAATGCAAATTTGTAAGTAGGTTGGAATATACATGTGCATGCACGTGTGCACACGCACACACACACACACAACTTGATATGTATCTATTCATTTTGGAACTATTCTTATTCTGTTAGTCTCCATTACATAGCTATAGTGGATCGTTTGGTGCCCTGTCCTCTTATTTCCAATGGCATGGCTTTTATTTCTGGCACTCTGTGTCCATGGAGGCTTCTCTTTACTCATATGCATGCCTGACAACTCAGAACATAAACGGCCCCTAAAGCATTCCCTACAGACTGGTGGGAATTAGTGCTTCAATAACCCAGTCTTCTGCTTCCTGGTCGGACAAGTCAATTCAGCATGGCTTTCTAAAGATCCCCAGGAGGACTGAGCTACAGCTGCCACTACAAGAAAAGTGATGGACAGTTGGGGCGGGGGCATTTGTTCCTTTCCCTATTTCACTGTCCTAGTCTCTTCCTGGTATTTCCTGTAATTACTGTGTGCTAAATAACTCTCTGCTGAAACTGCATCTCAGGACATGCTTCTGGAAAACTCCAAAATGTAGTGATTATTCAATCAGTTTGTAGATCAGATTTTAACCTTTCAGTTGGTTGTCTTGGTACTTAGAAGTTTTGGATCCAATACCAGATCCAAGATCCAAAACCATGTCTTAGTGTTTTTGTTTTGTTTTGTCTTTTTTAACAAATGCATATATTGCTAAAGGCCACAGCTCACCTTTAACCAGAACAGTCCCAGCTGAACACTTATATTCATATAGCTATGCTAACACACTGTTTTCCACTGCTAATAACCATCATTAGACACAACTTTATATCTTAAATGTTTTAATGTTCACTTTTAAGTAGAAAATGCAATGACTGTGGGCTGATACTGCCTTGGGATGGGTTTACGTGTTGATATTCCCAGGTTTCCATGGCCCAGGGATTTTATTCCATATTTAGCTTGGCACTTTTATGCACAGTAGACACATGTGGTAAAATCTCTCATGCTGATCGGCTTGAGAAAAGCTGTGAGTGGTAAGCCAATCAATGCTCATAAAAGCCAGACAGAATTGTTGTGTACTAGACAGAATTGTTGTGTACTAGGAAATAACCCTAAACTGATAAGACGCATATGTCAGGAAGCCCAGAAGGGGTTTTAATCCCTATGCACAAGATTAGTCTGTCTGTATACATATTGACCTATATTCTTGCTGTTTTAACTGTAATTCTTTTCAGTTTCACCTTAATTCATAATTTACCCAGTGTCTCAGTGTTAATAGGCATATTTGACTACAATCCACTGTGGCATTCTGAGAGTCAAGCTTCCAAGGACAGCAGTGTTTCTCACCAGGACGTTTTGTAGGACACCTTGCTACTCTGCATTGGGTTCAAACTAAAAAAAAGATGAGCCATCTGAGACTCCGTGCAGCCTCCTGCAAGTAACAAAAGAGCGGCAAGGGGAAGGGTGCCGTGACACAGAAACTAGGGACATGTTTTAGGGCTTATTCAAGCATTGCCACTCCTTGTTTTGCTCTCAAAAATGTTAAAGAAGACTAGCAAATATCTCTCTTTCCTCGTACTCAGATTTCAGATAGAATGGAAGAAAAAAGAAGGGGGCCTCTCTAGGAAGAAAGAGCAGTGTAGTGGCAAGATTATCGTCCTTGCTAGGGAGCTGCATGATTGTGGGACAATCATTTAGTCTCTCGTAATTTGCAACTGCATTTATTGAGAAATTTAGTTTTTTCTCTCATACATTACTAGACCCAGAACATGTTAAGGTTCAAAACTGGCTAAGTCAACAATTTCTTCAGCATTCATGGGGCATCTGGTATAGAATACATTGAGCACATGACTTTGAATTAAAATGAAAAAAGTAAACATAAAAGACCTATGGTATCAGAGATGTGTTTAATTGATATGAGTGAGAGATAGGGAGAACAGAAGGTCATCTCTAGGTATAACTCAATTATTCAAAACATGTTTATCATGTTTGACTCATTGTTTCACTCCCCTAGGTGTAAGAAATACTGCAGCCAAATAAAAATCTACTTCTGCAAGTATCCTGGTGGAACAGTAAGACAGTAAAAGACACCCATAGGTAATGTCCAGTGTTTTCTGGCAAGAGCTTAGCTGAAAATATTGCAAGGTCGGAGGATAGCTGGCAGGGAAAAGGCATGGGAAGGTTGTAGTGTGATTTTATCAGGATGTCAGGGAAGGCCCAGGGTAGCCACATGCTGGATCAAAAAAGAGCTTTGGGGCCGTGATCTGGGAGAAACACAAAAGTCTTAAGGAAACAACGATGAGCCAAGGTGGAGAAAGGAAATGCAGCACGGTTAGCTCCTTTTGGAGGAAGAAAAACAAACGTACACAGCAGGCTTTCATTTCAACAGAAAAAGAAAATCGTGGTTCTCTTTTGCATTTGGAAACAGCCGAAGACTGTGTGATTTTATGACAAAAAAAAAAATTCCCCTTCGAAGGGCAGTATCACTCCCATTCACACTCAGATACGCTTAAGAGTTAGTTGTTACTGTCATCTGGCTTTCGATTGGCACAGCATAAGCTCCTGCTCTTCACCTATTGGTCCCTGTGCCTGTCTTCAGGTGAGAAGTCATTATTGGATCCCGCCCCTGCCGCGGGGTGGTGTGGGGATTGTAGTCCGTCTCGTTTGGCCCAGCCGCGGGACTGTCCCCCTCAGCTCCCAGGTCCACCCCAGTGGGCACACACTCTGGCGGCGCTGCTGCCCCGCGCTCCCGCCCTCTGCCTTTCATGCCAGCCGCCAAGATCTTGGAAGGTAGGGGCGCGAGAAGCGAGCCCAAGTGGAACAGAATGTGGGGCGCGGGCTGGGTTTCCGCGCGCGCGTCTGGCCAGGACCCCTGCGGCCGGCGGGGCGGGGACAGGCCGGCACCGCTGCTCTTCCGGGGGGGCGGTGCGTCGGGACTCGCCCACCTGCCCAGACTCCTCGGGCGCGGGACTCGGGCGCCCCAGGTCTCGAGCCCCTGTCGTCGCCTCAACCAGCCCTTCGCGGTAAACTGAGGCACGGGGTCCTCGAGGCGCAGTTGGCTGAGCCCGCTTTCCGGGTAGTTCGTGGGTTCCATGGACAAGTGGCAGGAACCCCTGACCCAACCAGGTCTGTGTCTGCGTTAGATACCTAGCTCAGGAGTCCCCAAAGGTGCCAGGGCAGCAGCAGGATGGGGCACACAAAGGACAGTGTTTAAAAGAATTTGCGCATAGTGAGTTTAAAACATAAAATAAAGAAAAGCAAACAAACCCCCTCGACTCACTGGGGCGCGAGAACTCGTCGCTAGTGGAACCTCACACCTTCGAGCTTTTTTAGTGTTAGTTTCACACGCAGGGATCTGGAAGCTGTAAACATTGAGGAAGGAAGGAGGCAGGTTGGTGGCACAGGGGCCACCTTTGCCTCTGCCGTGTGACCCTGGACCACCAGCTCAGCTCAGTGGTCCTCCTGTGGATAAAAATCAGCTCCCTGCTCCAGTGGCCCAGAGAAGCTGCCCAAAGCAGTCATCGACATTGAGGCCAGGCTCCCGAAAGTTTGTCGTTTGAAAACGTCTTATTTTCGACCTTTCAGAAATGTGCTAAAATTACGCCTGGATTGTTTTGGGCAAACGCTAGGTAGAGATAGGCCTGGACTGCCGGGTGCTGCCCTACTCCAACGTGTCCTTAAGCTGGTTGTCACTTGAAAGTACCCCCCCCCCCCCGCTTTTTTTTTTTGCTGGCTCCATTTTATGGAGCTGGTCTGCGGAGGCTTCTGGGACTTGTAGTCTCCCGTTGCACCCTTCTGGCCTGGTACTTAAGCTCCCAATGTGCCATTTCGCCTGGTGAGATGTCTTCTGGGAGTTGAAGTCTCCCTACCAGGACCCCCAGGAGGCAGTCCTGTTGCTTAGAACTACGACTCCCACATGCCCTCCCTTCTTGGCTGCCTTCTTTGTCCATCTTTTTAATTAAGATGAGACTAAGGGGAAATAAGTAGTGAAGATTCCCCCACCTCTTTTTTATTTTCTGATTGCATGTTATTCAAAGTATTAGATATGAAAATTTTTTATTAAAGCATGTTTACATGGTCTTCAAATAATTCTATGTCTCCCATAATAAAAACTTGAGAAAATGGCTGAGATGGCTGTCATGGTTTCACAGATGAATTAAAATCATGGTATATATTTTATTGCATATTAGATTCAGTTACAATTTAATTTCCTTTAAAGCGATATGATAGAGATGACCATTTTTACCCCCATTGACCTGATTGGGCTCAAAAGGTAGAAAAGTTAAGCTACGTGTTCAGATTAAGCCAGCTGGATAATAGAAGTACTGGGATTGTAGCACCTTCTGTTTGATAGTTTCTTCCTAGCAAATGGCTCCGCAGAATGCAGAAACTACAGATTATTAGACTGTAGAATACAAAACCTTTCAATTTCATAATGGTGCTTCTGTAATTAGCCACTAAATGCTAGTGTTGCTAAACCTTTTGAGATTTTTAAAGTCCACAGCAAAGAGTTCAGAACAATTGCTGACATAAAGGTTTCAACAATGTTAGCTATATAATATATTTTGTGCACACCTTTATTTCAGCAGTGAGAAATCTGGTCCCTGTGAAGCAGAGAAGCTTGCCAGGGGTCGTGTCGTTGGTTTAAGTCAAACATGAAACTACTCCCTAGAATCTTACTTGCAAAAGCAATAAGCTAGAAGACACAGTGGTATGCAGCTATTTGGATAATGTTATCCTCCCCATTCCCAAGATTTGTTCTTTATAGGCCACGGACTAGGGCCAGTTGTGGTAAAGTCTTTTTTCTCATTGCTCCAGTTGTCCTATTTCATTAATCCAACTAATGTTTTCTGAGAATCATTATATGCTCATCTCATCAGGTGCAAGAGACATTCAATGAAAAGTGCCCCGTGTGCTAAAGCTGGAAGTTCATGGGGATCATCCATAATTTTCGTTTTATAGATCAGTGGGCCAGCAGTCTGCCTCGCATGCCTTGAGCCAAAGGGAAGAGAGTTTCTTGAGGTGTCACAGGACTGGACCACCTGATGGCCTTCTCTTGGTGTAAATATCTGGTGACATGCTTTAGGGATGCAGCCGTGTTCTCATCTTAATTTGTATTTAGAAACAGCTTCAGTATGTTCCATTTTTTTCTACTAGTTTTGTTTTGGTTCCCAATACTCTTTTGTTCCTCCAGAGATGAGTGAACAAGGTTTTGATGCTGTTTTTACATTCACAGATATCACAATCAAACACTTTGATATAAAGTATTGGAAATGTATACAAGATGTGTGTGTTATCCAGAACTTGGGTTTGAGAACACACGTGGCCCCCTTCAGTTATGTATTCACAGATATGTAAGCAAGCATCTCTCACCTTTTTTGTGCGAAAGATGGTTTCTGGATAATTAAATAATGACATAACAGCTTTGTAAATTATTGGCTAAACACTCAGAGCATGTCGCTATGCAAGAAGTTCTTTGCATCAACCTGTGTGGCCTCCAGCACTCTCCCAAGTGGTAGGCTGGTAATGCACCATCCCACGTGGCTGAAGACACAGAGCATGTTTGTGGATTTGCATTCATCAGCACCCCTGAGCTCTGCTCCAACAGCCTTTCCTTCAATCTCCCTTTTCTCTTTTAATGTAGAAATGCAGCTTTGAAATATAAGATGTAGGTTATGTTGCTTTCAACATGAACATGGCAGAGAGAAATCTCAGTCTCTGAGGTCATCTTCCAAAGGGCTATATATGAACATGTCCATGTCTTTGACTTCTCAGATGAAACAGCAATGCAGATAAAAGCAGTACATCCAGTCATGTGGTGTCCGGGATTTAAATCCCAGCTCTTTCCCCGAGGCTTCTGTGACGTTTGTGTCCTCTTTGCATTTTTACCTCATGGAGAGAAGATGAAGAAGAGTTTCTAACTTTGAACATGCTCTCAGGCTCCCAGTAGCCTGTAGCAAATAGATAAGTAATAGATCTTACTTTGTCATTGTTTATGTAAACTTGATATGTGAAAACAAAATAATTTTTTTTGTCCTCTTAGAGTAAGAAGTGGGGCACATCATACTTAAAGTATAAAGTTTTACTGCTCTTGAGAACCTGTCTTGTCAGACCAGTGGCATTCTTACGGGCAGGGAGGTGGTAACAGTTTTACGTGAGTACTGCCTGCTGAGAAGACTCTGACCCATGGTTCCATGCAGATATTAAACTTAGATAGGGAAGCAGCTGGCTTATGCCACTGAGGCCTTTTGTCTACCCGGAGAAAGGAGTAGATCCTGTGACAGGATCCTCAGGGTTCAACAGAGGCAATTGTCCTACAGCTGGTGAATAATTCAGGGGCACTAGCCAGTGGCTTATTTCTAAAGCCGATATCACTGATAAAGACATCATTTTCCGTTACTCAGTGATAGATGAGAAGAAGAAACAGAAATGAGGATCACAGCCAAAGGAGGTAGGTAGGGTTAAGCGGACAAAGGAAAGGTGGAGGTCTTTAGGATCCTAAACATTGAACAGCTTGCTCCTGGATCATCTAGGCCCCCCACTATGTACCAGTTGTAGAGAGCAATGGATGTGACCGATAGGGAGGTGGTCATGGTGGTGAGTGGTGGTGTGTTATAGAGAGACGGAAGAAAGGAAGTAGAATGGAGGTCTGGCTACCCAGGCATGACATTCCCTGACTGAAGAGGGTGACAACGTGAGGCTGCACAGACCAGCGTAGATGGCTGTGCTGCTTAGTTCCTGTCACCTTGACACAGCTAGTGTCAGCAGGGAAGAGGAAGCCTTACTGAGGACTTGCCTCCATCAGATTGGCCTGTGGCCCATCTGTGGGGCGTTTTCTTGATTAATGATTGATGTGGGGAGGACCAGCCCACTGTGGGTAGTGCCAGCCCTGGACATGTGTTCCTCTGTTACATAAGAAGGACAGCAGAACAAGCCATAAGAAGCAGGCCAGTCAGCATAATCCCCCTAATGTTTCTGCCTCAGTTCCTGCCCTCACATGGAGGACTGCAAGCCTTACAAAATATACCCTTTCCTCCCCATGTTGCTTATCACTGCAACACAAAGAAATCAAAGACAGTGATATTATACACAGTCCAGCATCTTCACGAGTCTTGCACTTTGTTCTAAGGAAATGTAGGAAACCACTTAGCAGTCTCAAGTAAAATGTTTGCATATATTTAGAAGTATAGATCCAATATGTATAATAAATCAGTGACAGGCAGTAGTTAATGTGGAAGAAATATCCACAACCGTGTTTGTTGTCTCTGCCTCTTGACGATATCATACACACATATCATGGATTTTTGGTCATTTCTACCCCATTACAATCTCCTCCTGAAACCCCTTTCTCTCAACAAGTCCCTCTCTTATTTTAATGGTGTGTGTGTGTGTGTGAGAGAGAGAGAGAGAGAGAGAGAAAGAGAGAGAGAGACTCACTGAATTTGATGATGACTATTTGCATGAGTTCGAGTGAAGAGCATTCACTAGAGCTTGAGTTCATTACTATAACAGCCATGTCTTATCTAGATGACATCTTCCTATTGTTTTGGCTCACCTGTCACATACCCATATCGAGAAGTTTTCAACCATCTGCATATATTTAAACGTTATTGGTGTAGGGGAACTGAAATATCTTTTCTTCATTCATCCTAGGCTCATGGCCAAGGTACTCTCCTTCCTCCCCACCCCTCTGAACAAAAGTTAGGTGAACAATTTTTAAAAAGTATGCAAATTTATGTACTATAAGTTCTGTATTACTTGGAATCCTTATGTGGTAATGGTAAGTTGAA